TTCTCTGCTACAGTCACCTCCCAAATACAGAACCCCCCTCTAATTTCTTTTTCTCCATTGTGTCCAGTTTTGATAAGTCTGTATTCAAGTTCTGCTATTTATGGTACCATTACCTAAGAGATCTCACATGTGACCTTATCTCTAACACAGCTATGTACATGGTTTTGGTCATGTAGGACCATTCTTCACAGAAGGTTCCCTTTCAAAATATTCCCCTTCGGATATCTGTGAAGAATCGGGAAAGGGTGGCAGAAGACCTGTGTGGATGAGCAAGGAGCTCATGCACAAACTCAAAGGAAAGAAGAAGGCCCATGAAATGTGGAAAAAGGGTCTGACTACTTGGGAAGAATACAGGAATGTTGTCAGGGTCTGCAGGGATGCGACAAGGAAGGCTAAAGCCTGCCTGGAATTAAATCTGGCAAAGGGGATAAAAGATAATAAAAAAGGTTTTTTCAAGTACATTAACAGTAAAAGGAAGACTAGGGAGAATGTGGCTCCCCTGCTAAGTGACGGGGGTGTTCTGGTAACGGGGGATGCTGAGAAAGCGGAGATACTGAATGCCTTCTTTGCTTCTGTTTTCAGTGAAAAAGCTCCCCCTCGGGAATCTGAGACCCTGGAGGTTAGTGAGAGGATCTTGGGAATGGAAGACCTCCCTTCGGTCAGGGAAGAGGTGGTCCGAGAGCGCCTAGGCAACACCAATGTTCACAAATCCATGGGACCCGATGGGATTCATCCACGGGTGCTGAGGGAGCTGTCAGAGGTGATTGCTGAACCGCTTTCTGTCATCTTTGAGAAGTCTTGGAGGACGGGGGAGGTGCCTGAAGACTGGAAGATAGCCAACGTCACCCCGGTCTTCAAAGTAGGCAAGAAGGAAGACCCAGGCAATTATAGGCCAGTCAGCCTCACCTCTGTCCCTGGAAAGGTGATGGAACAGCTTGTATTGGATGTCATCTCCAGACAACTGGAAGAAGAGGAGGTTATCAGGAGTAGTCAGCACGGGTTCACAAGGGGGAGGTCGTGCTTGACCAACCTGGTAGCCTTCTATGATGTTGTCTCTGGCTGGGTGGATAGGGGGAAAGCAGTGGATGTAGTCTACCTTGATTTCAGCAAGGCATTTGATACCGTCCCCCACGACATCCTTATAACAAAGCTGAGGAAATGTGGGATAGATGAGTGGACAGTGAGGTGGGTTGAGAACTGGCTGACTGGCAGAGCACAGAGGGTCGTTGTTGGTGGTGCAGAGTCCGGTTGGAGACCTGTAAGCAGTGGTGTTCCTCAGGGGTCTGTACTGGGTCCGGTCTTGTTCAACATCTTCATCAATGACCTTGATGAGGGGATAATGGCCACCCTCAGCAAGTTTGCTGATGATACGAAGTTGGGAGGATTGGCTGACACGCCTGAAGGCTGTGTTGCCATTCAGCAAGACCTGGATAGGCTGGAGAGCTGGGCAGAAAAAAACCGGATGAGGTTTAACAAAAGCAAGTGTAGAGTCTTGCATCTGGGGAGGAATAATTCCATGCACCAGTACAGGTTGGGGGATGACCTGCTGGAGGGGAGCTCTGCGGAGAGGGACCTGGGTGTCCTGGTGGACGACAGGTTGGCCATGAGCCAGCAGTGTGCCCTTGTGGCCAAGAGGGCCAATGGCTTGGGTGCATTAAAAAGAGCGTGTCCAGCAGGTCGAAGGAGGTGATCCTCCCCCTCTACTCTGCCCTGGTAAGACCTCATCTGGAGTACTGCGTCCAGTTCTGGGCTCCCCAGTACAAAAAAGACAAGGATCTCTTGGAAAGAGTCCAGCGGAGGGCCACGAAGATGGTGAAGGGCCTGGAGCATCTCTCCTACAAGGAAAGGCTGAGTGAACTGGGTCTGTTCAGCCTTGAGAAAAGGAGACTGAGAGGGGACCTGATCCAGGTCTATAAATATCTAAGGTGTGGGGGGCAAAATGGCGAGGCCAGACTGTTTTCAGTGGTGAGTGGAGACAGGACAAGGGGAAACGGCCGGAAACTGCAGCATAGGAAGTTCCGCACAAATGTGCGCAAGAACTTCTTCACAGTGAGGTGACGGAGCACTGGAACAGGCTGCCCAGGGAGGTGGTGGAGTCTCCTTCTCTGGAGATGTTCAAGACCTGCCTGGATGCCTACCTGTGCGACCTGGTGTAGGGAACCTGCTTTGGCAGGGGGGTTGGACTCGATGATCTCTGGAGGTCCCTTCCAACCCCTACAATTCTGTGATTTTTTATTTCTTACATAATTTCCCTGTAAGCAAGTATTACTCAAAATATGGCACAATTAGAACCAGACCCTGGAGTATTCTTCTGAAATGAACAGCACAAAAAATTCTTACTAACTCTTCCTTCTAGGGAGCTGTTGATTGAATCCATTTCTAAATTGGTCACATTTTACATACAAACTGGTACCTATCAGACAACACACAGAAGCCAGGCACAATGGTTCTTATTGTTTTAGTGATCAAACATGTCTATCAGTAGGGAAAAAATGATTATTCACTAAGTCCAGTCACAAAGCATGAATCAGATGTGTAAATGAACAATTATGGAATAAAATCCATTGATGTAAATAACGATACTGTTCTCTCTTCCTCTCATTATTAAAACAAATAAAACCAATAAATTACAGATAAAGTTTGAAGTAGCCAGTAATGAAAACTAGTATGTCACAGAGATATAACAGCTAGGATGAATGTGAATATTAGACACCTGGTGGTTATTCTTGCTGCTAAAAATCTTTTGTTTAGCAACTACTTATTTCCAGAACAGCTTCTCAGTTGTTTAGTCAACTCCACCATCTAGAATGTTTGTCTCTTCTTGCGGACATATGTACGTTGTAGCAATGCAGAGGACTGGTTTGCGTGCTCTTAATAAATAAAGACTTTCAGTAAATAAATACTCATCAGAGCTCTCTCCAAATGCACTTTTAACCAAGTCAGGTACACTGAATGTCTGTCATTAGCTGTAAACAATAAGCTACCACCTCTACCGTCAGGTTGGATATTTGAGAAAGGTTCTTTGTCAGAGGGTGTTCAGGCCCTGGAACAGGCTCACCAAGGCAGGGGCCATGGCAGTAACCCTGCTCAAGTTCAAGAAGCATTTGGACAACATTCTCAGACATAGGGTTTGAATTTTGGGTAGTCCTGTGTGGAGCCAGGAGTTGAACTTGATGTTTCTTGTAGGTCCATCCAAATTCGGTTGGAATTGGATTCTATGATTCTTAACTTTAGATCAGCCCTTCACAGCAGAGACACTGATTATCAAATACCTGCTCAAGAGGATGCATTGGTTACTGACAAATTTTCAACTGGAAGACAACCTTTTTCACATAAACATATCAGAAAACATCATAATGTGATATATAAAGATTTTATTAACATTTGAAAAATTCTTTGTTATTCGTTTGTGTATTTGTCACGCTTGGATTTGCAATAGGGACATTCAAAATAATCCAAAATCTTACCATATGATCAATTATTAAAAATAATGAAATAGGATTCACCTGGTGCAACTCTTTACAAAAAACTGACTTCTTTTCTTTTGTCAGCCATTTTTTTCATCACATCCTTGTTTTTCTGATTATCATGTCACTGCTGTCATTCAAACTGGAATCACCTTTAGGTGTAGACTTCAATTGGTATACTTCTTAAATTCCTTATACATCTATGATTTTAAAATGAATAACAAGCATAAATAAGCAGTTAAGTAATGGTTCTGCCAGCAATCCAAACATCACACATTTTATAATTCACTGTAGGGTACTACATGGAAGCTTCTTTATATTTTTTTCTACTGGTATTACAGCCTTACAATCTTTCTTTCCTTGATCTTCTCCTGTCTTTGACATTTCTTCCCCCTCTCCCAGAGGTCAACACATCTTCATTCTAATATTTGCTTCAGCTTTGCTAAGATTCTTTCTACAAAGCATTCTAAGTTCTACAGAACTCAAATGACCTGCCCTAGAATGATGCATCTCTCATCTCCTTAAGAACCAATCAAAACTCCTGCCAATAGAATACTATGAACTTGAGTAAAAACAGATCCAGACTGGATTCATGTGACTTAAGCCATGTCTTTCAGTTGTCACAAGGTTCAGATTCTAGTGCAATATCAGAGCTCCAAAACAACCACACCATCTCTAAATCCATCAAAGATGTATAAATACAACGAGTAATGTAGTGGAAGCTTTGCACACAGAGGGTCGTGAAGCACTGGAACAGGTTGCTCAAGGAGGTTGTGGATGCCCCATCCCTGGAGGCATTCAAAGCCAGGATGGATGTGGCTCTGGGCAGCCTGGTCTGCTGGTTGGTGACCCTGCCACATAGCAGGGGGTTGAAACTAGATGATCATTGTGGTCCTTTTCAACACAGGCCATTCTATGATTCTGTGATTCTCAGTACTTGGAGAAAAACAGGCACGCCCATAGGATGATCCAGTACATTCTAAAATAGGTGTTTGGACTTCATTTCTTTTTTCTCTCTTTGCTTTCAGTGCCAAATGAGCTTATATTGCTATGTAGGACAAGATACTTGTGTTTTATATGAGTACAAGATGACTGAGTTTAATTCCAATTAAAACCTTGTTTGAGTATTATCAACACCACACGTGTTCTCTAAGGAAAGTAATGTTAAGCAGCAAGTTATTAAATTAACATTTTTATATATATATATATATATATATATATGTATATGTATATATCTATATCTATCTATCTATCTATATATAGATATATATATATATACGCTGCAGGGAAACACCCCCGGGGCGGGTAACGGCCCCACCACGATCCCGCTCCCTTATTGCGCCTGCGCATAGCCTCCCCCCCCTCCTTCACGATCACCAATAGAGAAGTCGCTAAGGATCTGTGACTGCTGTGGGGGCGGTACCACCGTGCCTCTCCTCCAATAGAAAGGCGGGTTCCCGATGTTTTTTTGTTTTTTTTTTTAACTCTCTTAGCCAATCAGCGCTGGCCTTGGGTGGGGGGGCATTTTCAAACTGGGAGAGGTACGCGGCCTAGTTTAGTCCGCCCCGTGCGCGGCCTGGTCCCGGTCCGAGCTGGCGGCGGTGAGTGCGGAGCCGCGGTGAGTGCGGAGTCTGGCGCGGTGTTTCCGGCCGTGGGGTTCCGGGTGCCCGATCGAAGCAGGCTGTGGGCCTTGGGCCGCTTGCAGCCGGGCTGGCTTCCCGCCGGCCCCGCCCTCGGCTCCGTGCCGCGGGTAGGGTGCGGGTGCTGCCCCGTGGGCTGGGGGAGCGGGGTCTGTGCGGGTGGCGGTGGGGCTGGCGGGGCTGCCGCAGGTAGTGGGGAGGCACGAGGGTAGAGCTGGGCGGGGATGCCCGGGGCCTCCTAGGAGCATTGTAGCAGTCTGTGCCGGTAGTTGGGCGAATGTGGAGGGGCCTGTGGGCTAGGACGGAAAAAAAGAGACGGATCTTGATGTGTGCTCAGTTCAATTCCGGGTGGTGCAGGTGAGAACGCCGCGGCTCCTCCTCCTGAGGCACTATCCTGGGTTGTGCCAGGTGTCCGGTTGCTGCTGAGCTGCATCTTTGCGCCTTTAGAACCGAAAGCCTCGGTGCCTTTGTTGCTGCTCGGTTCTCCCCTGCCTGTTGGGAGCTCTCGCACACCATGCAAGTTGCAGGTTGGTTGTGCTGCAGCAGCTCACCTGCATCACTGGTGCTGAGCCTTTTCCCGGCTGGCACTGGCCTTTATCTTCCTGAATCCTTTTGTGTTTTGTAGCCAACAATTTCTGTATTTCCTACTTGGAGTTAATATAGCTAATTCTTTGAGTGGTGATTTTTTTCTGGAGGTTGGGTTTCTCTTTCAAGAAATCATGATTTAGGTTTTAGTGTTTATAGGTGAATAGGAACAATTATATACATATGTATATTCTCTTACATTTGTGGAGAAGCTTAGTTACTGTGTTTCACTGTGCTTCTGCTGGTGAGGCCCCACCTTGAGTACTGCTTTCAGTTTTGGGCCTCTCACTGCAAGTAAGACATCGGGGCCCTGGAGTATGCCTAAAGAAAGAGCAATAAAGCTGGTGGGGGGCTTAGAACACAGGTTTTTTGGGGAGCAGTTGAGGGAGCTGGGATTGTTTAGTCTGGAGAAGAGGATGCTTGGGGGAGACCCTATCACTCTCTACAATTAAGTGAGGGGAGGTTGTGGTGTGGAGGAGGTCAGCCTCTTCTCCCATGTGAGTAACAATAGGGCAGGAGGTAAGGGGCTTAAGCAGTGCCAGGAGAGGTTCAGGTTGGATATGAGGAAACAATTCTCAGAGTGGTAGTGCATTGGAGCAGGCTGCTTAATGAAATGGTGGAGTCACCATCCCTGGAGATGTTCAAGAGAAGGGTAGATACTGAGGTGTATGGTTTAGTCGCCATGGTGGTGATGTGTTGATGGTTGAACTAAATAGATTATCTTGGTGGTCTCTTCCAACCTTAATGAATCTATGATTCTGTTTTGGTGAAAATAATGGCTAGACTTGGTGGCTACACTTGGGAATAGGCTAGAAGCAAGTTATTGGGTTTATCTAGTTGGATAGCTTACAAAATCTTGTAACAGTTATTGTAATCAGGGAATCATGCGGGATGTGAAGGGAGCTGAAGCTGGGGAGGATTTGTAAGGTAATGCAACTTGTTGGATAACAGGTTTTGTTCCACGAGCAGTTACCTGCTTTCTAGGAAGAACGCCTTTTAAAATCTGTCCAGGCTAACAAAAGTTACAGAATTTCTTTTGTATTCCTGTCATTGCAATTTGTTCTTCTGACTTAAACCTAAAAAATGGCTTTTTTTTTTTTAATTAAGCAAGCTCTCTGCTTTCATGACTTCTCCCATTTGTTTAATAAAAACTTGGTGGTTTGTAAACTTGACTGTTCCTTCAAAGTTGTAATAAAGACTGGTTTCTGCTGCAGTACCTGTGGACTAAGTGGATATATGACAGAATGCCGGGCATTTCTAATGATTTGCCATGTGTTGGTACATGCTTCTGTTCTTCTTTGCCTTAAACACAAATGGTAAAGGCTTGAGGAGCGGGACTTTTATGTACTTACATAGTAGATTCTAACATTCATAAAAGGTCTGTATTATTACTGTTGTGCTTAAGCAGTGTTGATATAACTGCACTTATAAAGGATTGTAGTATAGTATTGCTCTGCTTTCTGTAATGGTGACAATTTTCTGTCCTACCAACAAGCATGTGCTTGAGCAGTCAGCAAATTTGGAATATTAAAGAGAGTACAAGAAAAATATAATGCAAATGCTGTAGAAGATAAAGGTTATGTTCTGTTTTACCTTCTTTATCTCCAGGGGCTGGAGCTCCATCCCTACAAAGACAAGCTGAGGGAGCTGGGCTTGTTCAGCCTGGAGAAAAGTAGGCTGCAGGGTGACCTCATTGCAGCCTTTCAGTACCTAAAGGGAGCCTACAAACAGGAGGGGAATCAACTCTTTGAAAGGGTTGATAATAAAGGACAAAGGGAAATGGTTTTAAGTTGAGGGAGGGGAGATTTAGGTTGGATGTCAGGGGAAATTCTTTACTATGAGGGTGGTGAGGTGCTGGAACAGGCTGCCCAGACAGGTTGTGGGTACCCCATCCCTGGAGGTGTTCAAGGCCAGGTTGGATGGGGTCCTGGGCAGCCTGGTCTGGTATTAAATGTGGAGGTTGGTGGCCTTGCATGTGGCAGGGGCGTTGGAGATTCGTGATCCTTGAGGTCCCTTCCAACCCTGGCCATTCTGTGATTCTTGTTTGTGTGTAATTTCCCTGCCTGTAGGGAAGGCAAGATAGCTTAAACATAAGGGGAAAAAGTGCTAGAAAAACAACAAAAAAGTTCCTGATTTGGTGATGTTGGTGGCATTTTTCCTCTTCTGCACAAAAGATCTAACTTTGTTATTCACTGTGTAGTATATTTGTAGAAACTTCAATTGGGTCATTGGAACAGAGCTAGACATATGTTTTATGTAATAGCTCTCATCATAGTAGTCTGGAAGCATAAGAAAAGTCTAGGTAATGGAGTGGCATAAGTGTCTTCTAGTAAACTGACTTATTTCCTTTTTTATAGGAAAAGTGCCAGGCAGGCTCTTGGGCATTTGCTTAAAATTTTGGCTGCCTTCTGCACTTTCTTGGATAAGCAGATGTATTTTAGTAGATTCCAGAAGCAGGAAGAGTATGTCTTTTTTTAAGTATTATTTAACAACAAAAAAACTTCATACTTTATTGAAGTTTCCATCTGTGGAAAAACTGCATCTTGATTTGTTGAGAAACATTGCATGACATTGCAAATCCATCATTCCAAGTCTGATTGCCATTATTCTCTTTATTATCAATAAGTTTTATTGGTTCTATTGCACATGGGAGCCTGTCTAACAGACGTGACCACTTCATGCTTTTACAATTGAATGTATGTATAATTGCATGTTGATGTTTTAACTTCGCTGCCTTGTCAAATTTTGAAGATGCTTCACAAATTCATGGCAGATACTTTTTTTGAAAGTAATGTAGCAGGTTTAGCCATTGTGATGCTCTGAGTACTTGCTTGTGACTGGACTTTGGCATGAGTGAAAGAGTAGTTGTGACTCATGACAATGCACAGATGATTATGCTCTCAAGGTGTTTTTCATCTATACATTTCATACGCAGCAGATGCTTCTGGAAGTGTTTGCATGTTGTCCACAAGTAATTCTTGAGCTTTTTTTTTTTTTTTTTTGTGCTGATTAGTACTGTTAGTAATTAGGAACAGTTTTATTGGTTTGTTTTAATGAAAACTCAGTTTTTGTGATGGTATGAGTATGCAGGAAGCTTACAGTATGTATTGATACCTGTGTACTTCTGAATATCTAATCATTCAATTTTTGATACTCAGGAACTTCTTCAGGATGAAGGACTGCATTTCTTGCCATTGCTGGATTCTTGGGATCATCTGAAGTAACCTGACCCTCATCCACTTCAACTTTTTGACAAAGCATATCAGTTCTTCAGAAGTTTTCTCCATATTGCACACATTGAATCTTTGTCAGTTAAGAAGCTACGTACCAGAAATGTAAGTTTGGCAGCTGACTTAAAGTCAGGTTTATGTAGAAAATTACTGGTTTTTTGTCTGCTACTAATGACAGCTTGTCACTAGAAAAATAAAACCTTAGTGTGGATGAGGAAAACAGAAATAGTGTTTAAAAAAAAATCTGTCTAGGAATCATTAACAATTATAGTTTTAATGAAAAATAGTAGTACTGGAACATATGACATTTCTTTTTATGTTCTTGCTGTTTAAAGTTGTCTAAGGCTTAGCATCTGGAAGTTGACTTCATCCGTACTCTTAATGGGTACAGCTCAAGGACTGATCTTTAAGAATGTTCTCAACTGTAAATAGGAGATCTGGAGTGAAAAATTATGTATTAATTTAGGGCAAAACTACAACAGGCACCAAAATCTTGTCAATAAGGAAATGATCTTTTTATTAAATAAAGGTAATTAAGTGTCATGTTTGGAATGGCATGTAAACAGCCTTTGCTACAGTAATCACCTCTCATTTTTAGCAGTGTGATTCCTAAAAGATGGGATTGTTTATAGAGGCTATCTCAAAACTTCTCCTCTATGTACTCTGGGGAGGAATGTGTGGTGAAGTACTTTTTTTTTTTTTTTTTAATATGTTTTTATTAAATGTATTTCTCTTGTGAAGAGAAATGGGGGGGGGGAAGTTCTCCTCTCATCTCACTGAAAAATTGCTTTTCAGGTAGCACTGACTGATACGTTGTCTCTAGTTTTCATAGTCCTTTCTGTGTAGTTCTTGATTACATCTCTGGGGGTTATGTTTACTTCTGCTTAATTCCACTGAAAGTACTTATTTTTCTTAAGAAAGGAAGGAATCATTTGCGGAACTTAGTGGAACTTTTGCTATTCTACAAGGATGTTGTAAGGTGAATGTCTTTAGCACTTAACACACTTTGTCAGGCTAAATCTTGGGCTTTGCGTAGTAGGTTCAAAATGTTTCTAAAATAACCTTTTTATGTAGATTGGAGTGTGCTTTACATTCTTGATAGCTATTTCTAGTGCAGAAAGGATATAAGTTACAGCAGCTTCTGCTGTATAAAGAAGTTCTGTAAGCATGGCGAACTTTCTGGTTGATGGTCTCTAGGAAGAGCTGAGTCTGCTGCTTTCAAAGAAGTGCGAACTTCGGATGATAACTGCTCTAAAAATTAATCTTGAGACTCCTGAAAAAGAGTGAAAAGCTTATCTTCTAGTAAGTGGGATTTGGAGGTGGATAGATGAACTTTTTCTTATTCCATTCTGTTGCTTCTCTGTAATTAATCTAAAATAGATCTTAATTCTCCCTTCAAGCAACTTTTCATCGACTTATACCTAAACGCAAACATTCTGTAATATTTATTACAAGCAATGCTATATAGTAATTTGTTGCTTATTTTCTGGTTCACCTTTATTCACTACATTCACTGTTTGTGTAATATCTTAGAATTATTTTGAAGTGAGGCCTAGGATGTAAAATTTTGCAGCAGGAAAAAGTAATGTAGACTAAAATGAGATGTTTCAAAGCATTTGGTTTAGAAGCTCAGTAATATAAACAAATGCTGCTTGTTTTTCAATTAGTGCTACTTTAAGGAAGAATTTTGTTAAAATTGAGGCATAACCAACCCAAATATACAGATATTTTTGAGTGTCTCACTACCCACCTGTATATCTGTATTAAAAAAAAAAAATTATCTTGGCCATGGAGGGAAGAAATAAGGCTGAAAGATGAGTCGTGACTACAACATGGTTACTACCTCTACTGTAAGTTATACCTGTTATGGAAATGGAGAAAAATGAGAATTGTTGAAACTCCTATTTCAGAGTATCAAACTTTCTGTGTAAAACATGTTTACACTTGGTGGAGTTGTGGTAGGGCTGAGGCATGTTAAGTGGAGCCTAACTCATCCATACAGGTGTCATCAAATGAAGTCTCTCCTTCCTTCCTTTCCTCTTTCTTTTCCATGTGATGAGACAGTGAAGCCAGAACACCAAGGTAATAATGAATAATATAAAAATATGTATATATTATAAATCCTATCCCTATTTTTAAAGTGAGATTAATTTTTTGTGGAGTTTATCTCTGAGCCAGGTCACCATGAAGTCTGACAAGTCCTTGTTCTATTACTGTTTGTTTGAGAGGTGTGGCAGAATGTGTGGCTAGAAGCAGAAATTCCTAGTGATGCAAAACTATGGATTTAGGTTGTAGGTTAATAAAATAATCCTATATGTTCAGGTACTACTTCTCTTGGACAGTTAAGGCACTTTATTGGGAAGGGCGACTGTGATGCATGGACTAACATCTGGGCAGACCAGTGAAGTGTATTGAATGCTTTTGTTCGTTCAGGTTGACTTTTATGAAGTTTACTTGTGTGACTAAATTAACCAAGTCTTGTTAGACTTGTTATTTAATGTAAGTCTCAATTTGAAAAATGTAAGTGAGGGACTCACCTGTGTTGATTCCAGTTAATGCCAGTTACAACTGGGCTCTTCAGTAACTTCCCTGGTTTCACCTTCTGTCTGTAGATGGAGGAAGAGGAGGATCTAAGTGAAAGAGGATTGCCACGAATTGCTTCAATCATGAGTAGGGTTAGAGACTTGAAAAACAAATACAAAAATGAAGACAATATCACAGATGAACTGAACTGTACTAAAATATCAGCTGATACAACAGGTATGTGTTTGTAATTTCTTTCAGGTATGCAACTGAAGGAAAAAGAACTATTAACTATTTTAAACTAGTAACTATTTTAAAGTGTAGTGTTTCTCAAGTATTAGAGACCATGAGGTACATTTAATCTCCTTACTTAAAAAAAAAAAAAAAAAATAAAAAAAAAAATTTGATGGAGGGGGAGAAACAAAACAAAAGCTCCATAAGTCTAGTATTGCATGAAAACTTTTTCTTCTATTTGTATTGGCTACGTTTTATTCTGCTGTGTTATTTTTCTGTCAGATAACTCTGGAACTGTTAATCGAATAATGATGACAACAAATAATCCGGAAGATTGGCTGTGTTTTTTGCTTCGGCTGGAGAAAAAGGGTGTTCCTCAGATGGACCTTAGTATACTGAATAGACTCATTGGTCGCTACAGTCAAGCAGTAACTGCACTACCTGCAGAAAAGCACAGTGAGGACGAGAACTATGCTCGCATCCTTGTGAGATTTGCAGAGCTGAAAGCGTAAGTACAAATTTTCAGTTTCCAGTACAAGAAATTTCATCAATGGCTTCTGGATTTTCATGGTGGTAAAATAGTATGGTGTGTTCTTGTTAGCAGCTCCTTGAAATTGAGCAGCTTTGGGTGCTCTATAGTGCTTGCATCTGTTGTATTTGCTAATGAAAAGTGATTCTTCAGAGAAATTTGATGTAGAGATGTTGGTGATCTTTCTGGACAATATATGTGAAGTTCATGGGGGAAAACAGTGTGAGACACCTCTTTCTAATTTCAGATTTACACTGTAGCTCAGAAGTTATAAGAAGGAAATCTGATGTAGAACTTTAAAGAAGATCACAGTTTAGCAAAGATTAAACTGTATACACTCAGTTCAGGATTATTTCTTTGTTGACTCCTATAAGTGTTCTATTGTGGCTGTATGGTAGACAGCTTGCTATTATTGAATTCATCCAGCCAAACTCCAGTGGTCTCCAATTGCCTGTTCTCCCTTCACCCTTACTCTGAAAGGCACATCCCAGCTATAATAAATACACCTTTAGGGTTGGAAGAATGATTCTGTATTTTTAAAATATCATTCTATACTTTCACAACTTACAAAGTGAGTTCTGTTTGTAGTTGACTGCTTTGATTAGTGCAAATTTGAACTGTGATTATTCAGGTATTTTCAGACCTATTTTAGGGCAAGATTATGATTTTTTGTAAGAAGTTCTATTGGCACTCTAAGTACTGTGAAATTGAAGATATTTTTGAAGAGCTGCATTTCAATGTCACGGTAATCTTTAACAGTAGAAGTCTCAGTGCATATAGCTAGTATCACTTTGTTCATTATACCCCTCTTAGAACAACTCTAGCAGGTGTTTTGGTCTTAGTCGACTTCTTTTTCTGTACTGTCATCTCCATGGGTTTTGTTGCATTGGTTTTTACTTCCATTGTGTGGTTTTAGTTATTGGTTGAATCTGCTGCTGGTAAACAATCAGGAGTGAATAACATCCTGCTGTGAATACATGGCATCCTGAAGATGGAAGTGGTTTCTTTTAAAGTGTTGGAGTAAAATATAGATCAGAAATACCTTCTATTTCTAAAGATATGGAAAGATCTTTCTTGATGGTCACTTGTTTTTCAAGATTTTTCAAGGTTTTGTATGATGCTTTTTTGTTCCACACAAACTTCAGGAAAAACTGAAGTTTCTCCTCCCCACATATTCAAAATCAAATATCTTCAATGTAGTAATTGCTCCCTATTTTCCTTTCTTATCCCTCCATCCTGTTTTGCAGCCTCTTAGTGTAGAAGTGGATGCAGTTAGAGAAAGGTCCCCATTATCTGGTGTCAGCATGCAGCTTGGAAGGTGTTGATGAGTACTCTGGGGGGGAAAAACAGCTATGTGTTCTTTATTACTATTGATGCTATTCCTCAAAATGAGCACCCAGTCTTTTTTCATATTTGAGCACGTTTTTCTGTTTGGAAAGGGTCAGTTTAATTTGTTTCAATTACTAGATATCTTTTAAAGACTCTTTGCTTATATGTACTTCATGAACGATTCATTCATGATTCTGAAAAAAAGAATGTAGAGTGTTAGTATGTGTTTGGTTCCATGCTTTGTAACTAGTGGTATGCTGTCTTTACAGTCTTCAAGATCCAGAGGAGGCACGAGACCAATTTCATCTGGCCAGACTGAACTGCAAGAAATTTGCTTTTGTGCATGTGGCTTTTGCACAGTTTGAGCTATCACAAGGTATGTAAAAGATGGTGTTTGTTGCTGTCTTGTGTTGCTCTAGGTTCTTTTAGACCTCTGCTGTTACATTTTGCAAGGAAACTGATAGGTATTGTCAGAAAATGAGATAACTGGATCTTGTTTTGATTTAAATTTAATTAGTGTCTTCATTTCTGATACCATTACATGCAGATATTACTAGTTTTTTCCTTTTTAGAAAAAAAACTTTGAAACAAGGTGAAAATTAGCTGTTTTAAAGCTTTGACTTTATTGACAAATTTGAGGCTCTTAGTGGTGTGAAAACTGATGATGATTATCAAATCTAGGTGATAATATTCCTTTAGATACTTCAAACTTGTGAGGAAGACCATCTTTCCAAAAAGCAACTGTAGATCTTTGTATTTTGTTTAACAAAACATTGAACTGTAAATGTGATCTGGTTGATACACGTTTTCCTGTTGCTCAAGTTTTTAAGTGGCTTGACTGCTTTTGTTTCCTGTTTTGCTGTTGAAAGTTGGTATTGGGACAGTGGAGATGAATGATATCTTCTGTTGCTTAATACTAGTAGTAAGCTAACTTCATTCACACTGTCATGGAAGTCATATTCCCATCAAGTCAGGGAGTAGGAGTTAGTTTTGTCAGTGTTTAAAATAGAATGGTACTCTGTCAAGTTTACTGCAGTGGTTTAGGCAAGCCATTTTGACACAGTGATAACATTTCTAAAAAAGAAATGGAAGAATAATGGATGAAAAAAATGAAGAAATAGTGGAGGTTGTGGATGCCCCACCCTGGATGCACTCAAGGCCAGGCTGGATGTGGCTCTGGGCAGCCTGGTCTAGTGGTTGGCATACCTGCCCATGGCAGGGGGTTGAAACTAGGTGATCATTGTGGTCCTTTTCAACTCAACTCTGTGATTCAATGATGTGAATCTAATATTTGAACTGTCTGTCTCCAGTAGGATTAGTTGCACTGAGAGCAGGTTTCTTGAAAATAGTTTATGCTGTTGCTGGGTGTACTGGATCTGCCTTGAGTGGAGGTTTTTCGTCATAGGTGCTGGCTTTTTAGGTTTGTGTATTTTTGTTAACAATGCTGATAACACACCGACGTTTTAGCTGCTGTTGAATACCATTTGCTCAATCTCAAGGCTTTTGCTCTCATTCTGCTTCTGACCACACTGAGTGTGCTGGCTGTGAGCAAAAGGACAGTTGATTCAATCTGACAGAAGGAATGTTCTATGGAAGATAATAGAATGTTTAAAAGTAAAAACCAGGGGTAGCCTTTTCATGGTAGTTGCTTGGGAACTGGCAGGACACCAATCTGCTGGCAAGGATTTGGGGATTGCTTTGTGTGACTTATTAGTCTTATTCCCTACTTTTTCTTTTTTTTATTAGGCACTATCTTGACCTATGAGTTGCTTTTGTTGTTGTGGTTTTTTTTTTTTCTTTTTTTGGTTTTTGTTTTTTTTTGCTTTTGCTCTTCTAGCTCTCCCTTGCCCTTTTGGGGCAACGAGAGAGTGAATGACTGGTGAAAGCTTCATTGCTGGCCAAGACCAATTCACGGCACTCAGAAAAGATCTTGATGTTTTAAATGATTTCAGGATTTATACCTCTTCAGTTTCTAGATGACTTAGATATTTGAAGTATGTCCAATAAATTGAACCGTTTCATATGAACCAATGAGTAAATACTAATTTCCTGTATTTCTGTTTCTTTTTTTTTCTTGATTCCAATGTCCCATTTGTAATGGGACAGGAGAGGCCATGGAATTTTTCCTCAGAAAATGCTTGCCACAAAATAACTGGGGAAGAATACTGAGTCGAGTATTTATTTTCTACAAAGCTGGGAGGAGAGGACAAATCTTAAATCTCTGATTTTAAATTCCATATTTTTTCAGATTAGTCAGTTGTGTGACCAGCCATTGCTTGTTATTTTGAGCTTTATAAACAGTATTTAAACTGATTACATACAATGTTCACAAGACAAATTATTGGTTAATTAAGGTGATAAACTGATAGTACTGCAATAGTAAAGATACTGGTAAATACTTATTGCAAGTGTAAAACCCACTGTATAACTTAATTAAAATGTAGAAATGTTACAAGCGATTACTAATAACTATATTTCATCCTTCTGTCACAATCACTCATGAACTTAGTAACCCCACAGTTAAGAGATATGCTCGTGCAATCGTGGTTTTTTTTCCTTTTTACTTTGACAGCAGTCAGCACGAAATGAAATCCTAATCCCAAAGGAATTTACTTTTTGGCTTTGTCTTATCTCTTGTGTGGTTTCTGATTTGTATCTGTTACCTTTGATCAGGTTGATATGATGTTTGGTTATCTCCCTGCTTGGTGCTTCAAACAGGATTGGAGTAGCATGTGGATGCTACATAGTTAAAGAGTGCTGCTGCATTTCAGTGAGCTTGTCCAGTTATGACCAAAGGAAAGGGGAAGATTCACATGCTCTGGTACCTCCTCAGCAAGGTCGTTTCGGCAGTGCGTTGGCAGTTTGGTTCTGAAGGAATCTCTTTCCTTTTGCATTAGGATGAAAAATTATACTTTCACTTCTTTTGAGTGAAATTGTGAGACAAAACTTAAATGAAAATTTTGAAACAATGTTTGACCATGATATTGATTTGCTTGTAAACTGAAAGCTCATAACCTGAAAATGGACTAACAAAAGTGACCCTTTTTGTTTAAATAGGCCAGATGAGAAGCTGTATCTTCCTTTTGTGTCTGGGATTGGGTGCTTAAAGCAAGATTATTGTGAATTTCTCAAAGCTCATGACTGTAATTAAAATTCTTTTTTTGGATCTATGAAGTGTGTTGCTTAAGTGTAGACCATTCAGACTTCTTTGTGAGCCTGGCAGGCTCATAAGACACTTCTGGCTTTGCTTCTTTGCCTTTGTTTCCCATCTATTAAGGACTTTAGAATGATTTTTTTTTTTTTTTCATGTAGGTGCCTTTCTCATATTCTTAGTTATTCTATGTGATGCTGAGATAAACTATTCCCATTCTGAATATCATGTCATCTTAATGAACTGCATAGTTAGCATTCTACCCGTGGTTATAATAATTGATTAGGGGTTTGCAAACAATCCCAACATACCAACAAAAAACATCTCCTGCAAAAAGCCCTATACACTTGCTAAGGATTTGAGAGAAAAACGGTGTTTGATCAGTCATTGTGACTGTGCACAAAATAGACCTAAATGAAATCAGACAATTTTACTTTAACATTTACTTGTTTCCATGTCAATACTAAGGTTTATTCTTATATTTGCTTACTTGAGCGTAAGTTCTGCCTTTCTGGCTCCAATCTTAACTGCAGGCAACATTGACTTTCACCTTCAGTTATCAGTGGAGTTTTGAGTGCTAGAGATGTGGAGCTCTGTTAGAGCATAATAAAAACTTATTCTTACAGGTGCTATGTCTGCACAGTTGAAGTACTTTACATTTTGTTGCTCTGCAAATGAGAAATAAGACATCAAGAACTTCAAGGTACAGCTGTATATTAACAGCTGTAGCAACATTGTGTCAATTTCTCCTGATGCTTTCTGAACAAAAGCCAAGGGGAAGATTTTGGTCCCAGTGCTTTAATTTCTTTATTCGTGTCTGATACTTTTTTTATAGCTACATGTATATATGCTCATACATGCAAACCGAATGCTTTAACATGTCCTGTGGTAAAATACAGCCCATCTGTTTTCTTCTATTTCAGCTTATGGCAAGTAGTAATGTGTAAAACTAATTAAAGAATCACAAGATCAAAACTAAAACAAAAGCAAACTCATCATCCCTTTTCACCCTTCGTTTCTGAATTGTAGTGCATTCTGGATTGATGGTGTTTGACTCAACTGCTGTCTTTAACCTCGATTCTTAAATGTGTTAAAGATATTTTATAATACACATATAATTTTATATCTGGTCAGGTAAGTGCAAGTTCGTAAACCTCTTATGCTGCAGAGAAAATGACTGTGTTTGTGTTCTGTTTTCTTATGGTTCTAATGCTGAAGAAATGCTGAGAATGCAGTTATGAAGTCATAAATCATATTCTGAGGCTCAATTACTTGTAGAAAAAGAACTGGCTTATGTGATTTATTTGTAAGTACTTCTAGGCAGTGTTCCAAAAGTGGGAAACTAAGGGGTAATGTGCAGACTAAACAATGCCTTGAGAGAATGATGGAAAATTAATATGACACCATAAACATAATTATGTCTTCCAAAGAAAAAAGTCTGTAAAGACCATGTTGCTACTGTGCAATTGTTTTTATTTGCTTTATCTCTAATGTTGTGTTCTTTATTACTTAGGAAATGTGAAGAAGTGTAAACAGCTCCTTCAGAAAGCTGTGGAGTGCTCTGCTGTTCCATTGGAAATGTTAGAAACTGCTCTACAGAACTTTAATTCACAAAAAAAGCAGTTGCTTTCAGATGAGGAAAAGGAGAACTTTGCAGGTAATTACAATCTCTTAAAATACTGATTGATTTTAAGCACTTGGTACTGCTAAATGGAAAAATTATTTCAGTGTTTGTCCTTTCTAAATACAAACTCAAAATCCATTGCTGTCCAATAAACAGTCGTATTTGTCTATTCTCCATCTTAATTCTTCAATACCTGGCTCCATCTCTTCTCAGGAGTCATCAGAAAGTAAACTTTTTGGTGAAGAGTGTATTTTTTGCTTTATATGAGGACAGAAGTAGTGCAAAATAAATCTGATTTCATAAGGGATCTATCTTCAGAGGCATGATAGAGATCTGCTGTTTCCTTTTAAGTTGACCTTAATATGAAACGCTACTTATGAGGGGGCAGTAAGTATTTGGTAGTGCTTACAGTATTATTCAGTCATGGTGTTTGTTTTTAATAAGCTTTGTTTTCTTACTGACATCAATTGCATATCTGATGAACTGTGTCCCAGGATAAGTTAATCTTCATGGAGAGTGCAGTTTGTATTTGATATTATTTGCTTTACTTACTGCAAATCTTACAGGTATACCTGTGAAAGAATATGTGCAAAAGGCTTATCTGCCATTTAGGAATTCATGAATTCAGGGTAAGAGTGGACTCATCTAGTTTTAGTTTATGTTAATTTGTAACAGTAAGTGCTTGAAAAGTGCTGCATTTCAGTGCAACTATTTAAAGATGAAAGTTTTAAAAAGCAATAACACACTAGAAATGCAGCAATGTGGATGATTTAAATCGCTGAGCTTTGCTTTAGTTGAATTTTGTTACTTCTGGAGCAATAAAAAGGCTTATCTCTTAATCTATAGGCATTTAAGACTTGTCTATTTAATATTCTTGCTTAAAGAGCTGCTTTTTGAAACTTATTTAAAGATAGTAATGCTGTTTAATGCATTTCTTCACACATGGAAAGATTGTTCAGAAAGCTTTGGACAAGAATTGCATGCAGTTGTAGAGTAATGATGCAAACATAAAAACCTCAGCAAGTCTAGAAACTTTAATTCTCTAGAAGGTTTAATTCTGCCTCCCCTTCTTTCTTTCATGGATGACAATATAAATATATGACATACTGGGGATGATTTGGAGGAAAAAAAACACATTTTTTCAGAATGTTCTGAATAGGATGAGAGAGAGGCTGTCTCAAACCAAGAAGAAATTAAAGTATTGTAGATCATTTGAATGTGAGAGTCCAATGGTAAACTTGGGCATGAAATACAGGGGAGAAAAAGGCATGGGAGATATTTATGGGAGTATGAAAATGATGATACTGAATGGGTCAACTGACAATTCAAAGCTATTGTCAGTGTTAAACTCTATATGTTGAAGTACTTATTTTGAACTATTTGACTAAGTAGTATATATTGACTTGAGTAGTTCACAAAGAAACCTAGAAATAGCTAAAATGTCAGTGTTCATCTGCTAGAAATCTAGCTTCTGCTGGCTAAAGACAGAAAGAAACGTGGGGAGGGCTCAAAGTAGAAATGAGTTAACTTTAATTGCTCTAGAACTTAAATGTTAGGCAAAATTGTATGTGAAAATGAAAGTCCTTAAGCTTGGATTTCTTGGAAGGTAGTGGATAACCATGGATTCTGTTTGGTCAGGCAATAATTCCCTGTGATGATGACAAGGTCTACACGATGAGGAAGATCTTCCCATAAATAGTTTAATGCATGTTCTGTTGTGTGTATTTTTTTTTTTTTTAAATGATCTTGTGTTGTAGATCAGCTTAGCTGTTTATCTGACTAATCAGATGGTAATTTCAAAGAGTCTCATCAGGGTGATAAACTGAAGTTGGGTTTAGTATTCATCTGAAGCTCTTAAAACAGCTCATACTTCAGTGTTCCCTAAATGGAGAGTTAATTTTCTTTCTATATTATACCACAGTTATGCACTGTGTGCAGAGGAAGTTGCTGAAGTGTGATGTACCTTGGTATGTTCACTGTTCAGATTTCTCGTGCTAATTTGGTCATCCCTGATGAGTTACCTTCCCTTCTATTTTCCAGCTTAACACAAAAATAATTTGGATGATGGGAATGTGCATTGCAGTGTTCAGTAGAAATTGGCTTTAGGCTTCTGTTCTAAGGTTAATGTACAACTTCAGATAACTATTCTCAAGTCCTTCATGACTGAGTGAGATTCTCTGTTGGGTTGAGATGGGGCAGCTGAAGCTTGCTTTTGGCTTCTGTATCTTTTATGAAGTTGCAGTAGTAGAACACAGCTTGTAAGAGCACTCTCAAATTTGCCCTGAGCAAAATCAGGTAGTCAACTTAGACCCAGCTAATTACTTTGTCTAATTCAGTTTAATTGTTCTGATATGATATATGAGTACTCTTGTACGTGTGATGTTAGCATGCAAGTGAGAAGGGTCCAACAAACAGGCTTTGGTAGCGAGTTACTGAGTCTCTGTAGTAGTAGCAGAGAACTTGTTTATCTATGTTGTTGCACCTTTGAGGTAGTAACACTGGGACAAGCTGGATTTTGGTGCTTAATTTAGGATTTATTGTGGTTATTTAGATGTGGATGTGGAATAAACAGATTCCAAATTTGAACAGTTCTAAATTTCCAGATGAATCTGTATAGGACAAGCTCATATTTATTCTTCACATAGTGCTGTTTTGGAGTGAAGGCTTATTTTCAGAGAGGGGATCTGGAAAATGGGCTTGCTCTGAAAGCTGCTGTTTCCTCCTCATTCATTGTTATGCTACTTGAACCACTGTTTGGCATTTTCTTTGAATGTTCTTTTCCTTCTGCACAGTGGTTGAGGATTTTGAGTGAAAAGTTTAAATTGCTTGGATAGTCTTTGAATATGTTGAATCTCCCTTTGTTTTGAAGTAGTTTGCAGTTATAGCTTTGCAGAAATCAAGCAGCTAATATATTTTAGCTGTTGCATGTCACTTTGTGCCTGTTCTAGATATCTCTCTCTGGCTGTAAATCTTTTAAAATTGTATAAAATGTATGCCTAGATTTATTGGAAATAATGATATTATGTATTGATATTAGATTACTGCAAATGTATGTATTTCTATCTAAATCATTACAAATGCTTTTCTTTAGAAATGCTATCTGTTATACTGTCTGAACAATTCTAATTAATATACCTACAGTATCAAGTATACAAGAGTCTGGACTTCAGAACATAGTTGGCAATCAGAGAAATATAAAAAGGAATGAGTCTACTGAAAATTCTTCTGCTGTTGCTAAACTTCTTGGGTAATGGCTTTATTTCTTATCTCTTAAAATATTTACAAAAGAAAGCTGTATGCTACTGTATTTATTTATTTACTTATTTTACCTTCAGGGAAGAGAAGTCACAAGAACTTGATTCTATGGTTAGTTTCCACAATCCATTAAGGCCACTAAACAGATCCAACCAGGTATATAACATAAATTATTTTCTTTCAAAATATTAAAATTTTAATACTTCATGCTTTTGATAACTTGTGATTTACTCTTAGGCCTGCCCTTTTGGGAGGATTCCTGTTAAACTAGTAACTGATTTTGATGATGTGCAGGAGATGGATGTCCCTCTTACAGCTGGTGTTGTGAAAAGGTATAGTTGCTTGATTTTATTGCAATGCAGCAGGCTTCCATTCTCCTTTTCAATGGGCATAGTTTTTCTTATAAGACAGTGGGAATATAAGGTATTAATGATGTTAAAAGTTAAAGATTGGCAAATAGTTGCAATTGTGGTAGATATTAAACATCTTCCTAATTTAATGCTGAGATTGTTTATATAGCAGCATGTTTCAATTTCTTATTCCAGCAAATCAATAGCCTCAACTGAGGCAGAGACTAAAACAAAAATGATTTCTGTTGAAAATTACTTTGGGATTTGTAATTCTAGTTCCAAAGATTGTCTTATTTTCCAAAATATTTTTAAAACCTCTTCTAGCCATACTGTTATAATTTTTCATAACAATGGAGACTTACTGATGCGTATGTTAGTTCTATTATGAAAGCGACTGTGCTCATTTTAATGTAACTGCTCAGCAGCAGAAGGATCTACCAACTTAAACACCACGTTGTTGTGTGTGTTCCAGAGCTTGGAATTTACTTTGAAGCCTATTGTTTGCTAGCTGTACTTTATTACCATTTGCAGTAGAAGACAACCAGTTAGTCACTTCATGAGATGATAGTGGCAAGACTTGTGTTGTTTCTCACTTAGCTGTCGGTGGACCCATTTTCCTATGGTTTTTGAACTTCACACAACTGTCTTCATCTGTCTCACAAAATACAATTGTTATGTTTGCATGTTATGCAATTAACAGTATTATTTCAATAGGCACACATCTAGCTCCAAATGTACAGCCTTGATTCCACCTTTTCCACTCTCTGAACCAAAACCGAGTGAGAATGATTCATGTGACCTGGCAGACTCGAAGGTAATATAAATATTTTTCAGATGGACAGAATGAACCCTAGCTGGATGTCTGATGTTGTTAGAAAAAACGGTAACACTTCAAGTCTGATTAAGTAATACAGTAGGATTTTTCTGTTAAGCAATCAGTTGTGAACAGAAACATTCATTGTACTTTTCAGAATTGAATAGTATTATGTGTAATCAGGTGTTAAGAAAAAGCTCTCTGTAAATCTGATGGGAGAAAGAGCACAGGGTGAGGAAGATTGAAAAATCCATCCTATTATTTATAAATAGGAAATGAGATTGCATCTTGACTACAGGACTCTTTCAGCTGCATTCTATTTCCATGATGTTAATTCAGTGAAGTCTGTGAAATGATTTATGGAGCTATAAATCATGGCTTTTGATGGAGTGTAATTTTGAGCTGCGTCTTGCATTTTTTGGCTTGTCCTTCCAGAAAGAAAACATTTAGGTCTTTGTTAAACAAATTGTGTAATGGCAGTTGAGTGTATTTAATGGGTTTAAAAGCAGAATCAGTAATCTTTGTGTATCCTCTACTATTTTCTGAAATTTATTTATTTTATGGTATGCTGGTCATTTTTTATCAGATGGAAATGTCTTTTGGGCTCTATACTTAGGAACCATTTTACTTTTTAACATGCTTTTTGTTTTCTTAGTTGTTACAAGAAAAAAATTCTGTACAGCTACAGATGTTGGATGAGAACAGCTTAGAAATGGCTACCAGTTCAGCTGTCACTCTGAAAAACAAAATAGATGCAAGTCTTGTGATGAAAAGAGAAGGTAACTTATTAATGTAATGTTCTAGGATGTTGAAATAGAATAAATATTGAAAAATTGCTGTTCTGTATTTTAAACATGGGCTGCTAAAGAAAACATTCTTCTGTGGAGAAAAGGATCTGCTTGGAGTTTGAGAGCAATTAAAATATGAGTTTTGAGTGGTGCCTGTGGAAGTGCCAAAAAAAACTGCAATAACTGTTCAGAAGTCAAATGTGTCCATCCTGCGTGTGGTTGACTGGGCTTGAGATAAAATGTCCAATAAAATGTGTAGTGCTAACTCTATATACCTAATTTTATTATAAAAATTATGTAAATAGGTATTGAAATAGCATCACTATAGGGTTTCAAATTAAGACTTGTCAGCCTGAGCATGTAAAAATGCTGCCAGCAGAAGTGAAGTTTATACAGGAAAAGTGTATGTATGCTGACTGACAGCAATTCCAACTGTGGATTAGAACATTCATGGACTGTTGTCTTTTTATGCTTTATTTTGGCACTCAAATTATACTAGTTTGCTTTCCTTGTATATGCTTGTAGTTTGCTATGTGGATGCCATAATTAGTTTCTTGTTTCATAATTAGTTTCTTCAAATTTATTTTAAGATGCTTTGTCTGAAGTAAGCTTTAAAAGGATCACTGCAATTCTGTCTTCTGTTTTGGGGGAAAACAAAGTCCATAGCTCCCTCAGTTCTCGGTGTCTATAGCACATCCACATCATCCACTGTATTCAGCATTCCCTTCTTTCTCTCCTCTTTATATGTTAGTATGAGAAAGTAGGTTTTCTTTTCTGCTGCTCTTTATATGTGAGAAATTCCCTATTAAGATTAATTCAGACATGCAAACACTCACTTCTGTTTTGGTCAGGTTTCTCTTTCCCTTGTCTTTGTTCCACCTGTTAAGTTACACTTGCATTCTATTGTATTTGGTCAACTTCAGTGCCTCATGCAAATCTTAGCAGATTTGACATTTGGAAGTAACTTTGGACATTTCTTATCCTGTAGTAATGTCTTTCTGACCTGAGTTTTATCACAACATATGCATTCATTTTAGTCTTTGGACAAACTATAGAATAGAGAACTTTCTCTGTTGTCCATTGCTGTTTTCTTAAGAGGTTTCTTAAAAGTATGAAAATGGAAGTTTGTCAAATGACAAGTTGTTTGCACTCTTTTAGGACACTGGAAAAAAAAAAAAAAACAACCAACCCACTTAGTATCTTTTACTTTTCTTTCCATGTGCTCATTTACATCAGATTTATGAACTTGTACTGCTGGAATCATTGGGTCATGTGAATGGCAATTGTACTAAATAAATGACACTGAGATTTCATGAGCCTCCAAAGACTTCACAGACAAATGCACTGTTACATTCCCAATTAACGTAAATGCGCTTGCTTTAAGTAATGTAATGCTTCTGCCTTTCACTGTTGTGTTCCTTGATTATCTGCAGTGGTAGCACAGTTATGCTTTTATTTAATTTTTAAACTCATTTTGAAGAAGAAAACTAAGTTTCATATCATTTGGCTTAGATTCTTATTGAAAATACTTAATACATTCATTTAGAAAAATTTCTAGCTTAAGAACTGAGTGTATTTTGAGAGTATTCTAGGAGTAACTTATGTGCTAATGAAATATCTACCTAATGCATGGGGTCTGACCATTCCCTGGTTTACCTCACAACATAGAACAAGAAGCATGAGAAAAAGCCTCTTAAAATGTTTATAGCAGTCCAGAGAAAACTCAGACTTATATCAAGTATTTTAGGACGGTAAAGCTTGGAAGGATGCAAATAATGACTCTGATGAAAGTAAGTGAAAATGTCTAATGTAGTGTAATCCTACAAGGTTGGATTTAGGACTATGTGTGTACATAGCTACTTGTGGTAAGAAAGAGGAAAACTTAATCTGAACAATTTTTCAACTTCAGCCCCTTCCCTCCAACTAACTTAAAAGAACACAAATCAAAACTACCCACACCACCAAACGTTACCCGTTAGTTTGCATGTGAACAGTTTGGGTTTCAGGTCATACTTTGCCTGTTTTGTGTTTTATTTAAGCTTCCAAAGGAAGTACTGTGGGTTTTTTTTGGTCTTCTAAAAATTGCACCCAACTTCTGTTTAGCATATACTTTCTAGTTACATGAATCTGCACAAGCAGTTGGAGGAACACCCAAGCTATGCTATTTGCAGCCTGCTCTGCTGCAGTTTGTCCTGTTAACTCTGAAAAAGGAACCATCTGACTGAGCAACCTTGTTGCTTTATGCCTTTGGCTTCAGTAATTACACTGGATTATAGATTGCCTGTTGCTACAGGCAACAGACTTCTGATGTGAAGTATTGCAGCAAGCTTATCCTAAATGCTATATAAACCTGCTCAGGGTGTCCCTGGGTGTTATGGTGTGACTGGTGAATATGGTCTTACAAATATTTTCTTTGCCCATATGCAGAGCATTTGTGTTACTATTATAGTAATACTCTAAGTTTTTTAGGGAAGTTGCCATGTAACTGCACCAAGCTGAATATTAACACTGAAGATTACACTAATGCCTTGTGAGTAACACTTGCTGTAAAAGATGTCAGAATCCAGTAAATCAATGATTCTCATTTATTCTGATGTAGAAAATGAGAGGGAAAAGTATCTAGAGATTGAGCTAAATTACCAGAAACCGTTTCAAGTACTGAATATTAAGTATTTTTAATTATCTGATTTATTCAGAAAATAAACTCCAGTATCAAGAGCTGAAGATACCAGAGCCAAGGAGCATGGAAAGTCAACAGCAGCAATCCAGTTCTTCTGAAAGCTATAGAAAGCAATTTGATCACATGAAACTGAACTGGGTTAACTCCAGAAAAAAATGGCCAAGTCAAGAAGTGATGCAGCAAAACTGCTATAGAGAGGTGAAGTAACAGGAATATGTGATGGTTTGCTACCTGAAGCTACTTTCACATATTGTGAAAAATGATTTCTTAATGGTGGCTTCTTGTGTGGAATAATACGTTTACTTTCTTTAGGGAAAGCGATCAAGTCTTGAGCAATCTGGTCACCCCATTTCAAGAAGACTATCACCACCAGATGCTGTCTCAAAGAAAAATGAGCCATTGTATGTTTGTGGAACACCAAGCTCTACATGTGCTGATTATATGGAGTGGTAAGCTATGTCACTTAATTGCACAGTCACAGGCAGCACTTGGTCTCTGGAACTACTTCAGTGATTTTTAACAGGGATTTTAATTTTTAAGTTCTTCTGTTCAGATAGCAAAAAAGATTCCTGACTGCTTCTAATGCTTTATGTTGAGTTGGAATGTTTGTAGTGAGTGAAGCATGTCATCTCCTGGTGTAGGTTAATTTAAAAAAAAAAAAAAAAAAGAAAAAAAGTGGTTTGCAAGGAAATTGTGCTTGCTTCTTCCCTTCTTCCACCTTTTGACACCTTGGAAATTTCTGAAAATCAAATTTGTTTTACAGGGTACATAGTGGAGATAAGAAGTATATGTAGGAAGTATTGTTGAGTAATTATGTGATCAGTGGGAGCTGTGCTTTGAACTATATTGAAGGATTGAAAAATTTGTCACTTTACTCTCAACAGAATGAGCACTAAGTGTATAAAATTGTTTTCCAGTTCTGGTATTTGCAGACTAAACGCTCAGATTATTACTAGTAGTGTTTTAGCCCAGGTTAATTAAAAAATGGAATGACTTACATTTCTGAATCACTAAATTAATATTGCAAGACCCTGGTTAGAGTTTGAGAAACTAATAGCTTTTCATTCAATGCAAGGTTTAAGCAGCCTGGTGCCATCTGTGTAATGCTCAAGTTTTTCTTTTAAATACTTATTTGTAAGTCATGATTCATCCTATGCCATTAATGAATGAAACAGGGGAAAATGTGTTTGTTAATGTAACTAAATATGTGGTAGACATATCAAGGGGACAAATAGTAAGACATACAAAGGATTTATTGCAATCTTCAGTTTACTTAAATATGTATGTTCTACTTTCTGCTCACAGGCAGCATAGATGACATTCTCAAGAATTCTCATGTTTATCTTGAAGCTTTGTCTCAATATGTTCACTTTCAGTAAAAAACAAAACAAAACATATTTCATTCATAAATGTTTTCAACAAAGAATAGTAAGCTTAGGAATTAACTGTAGCTTGCCTTGTCTTATGGGCTGCCCTTCTATTTTTATGGTGCTTTCCCTTTCCAGCTTATGAGTGCCAGCCAATGAGTGCCAGCTGGTGCCTGAAGAAGGGAGTAACTAAGGGTTACTGTTTTAAAGAAATGTTTTCTGTTACAGTTACTCTGTAGATCTAAGGACTTTAAGTCTAAGTGAAAGAGATCTTAATGCTAATTGTTGAATACAGCAGGAATTTGAACGGTTGCTGATGGAGTTTAACTTTCAAGAAGGAATGGAGATTTTGTCTTAGAAAACTTCATTTAAAAAGAAGTCTAACTAAATGTAAATATTCTTAACAATGCTTTCCTTTAGTTTCAGAACACCAATTGTAAGGAACAATTTTTCACCAGCATATCAAATTTCTACTCCCTACAGTCAGCTCCCATATTTTCTACCACATACTCCAGCAGCTACATTTCAAAATCAAATGGGCTTGCAGGTAACAATTTTAAACTGTCTTCTACTGTTTTTAGCATGTTTTCGTTAGAGACTTCTTTAGGAGGAATGTGTGTATTACATGTATTTTTAAAGTTGTTATTCACATTTATGGAATAAGTAAGGGAAAGCAGGGTCGTTTAGTTATCTACAGAATAAACGTTTTATTCTGTATTAGATCTATTCACTAATTTGAATTATGTGAGACTTTAAGGCAGAGGTAAATTGCAGTGGAGAACTGATATTAAATGTATTTTCACTTTGTGTATTTCTGTACGCACGTAATCCTGGTTAGGTTGAATGATTTGAAATAAAAATGTGAAACAAAATAGAATTATTATACAGCTGTGGTGGGCTTAAATAGTAAATTTTGTTGGAATTACTCAACTGACCATAGGTAATTGCATTTATTTTTAGGAGGACAGGAAGTTTTATGACCTCTATTCTGCAGTTTTGTAAGGCCTTTTCAAGGCCTGTGTTCGATATGTTGATGGACAAGCGTATGAAATTGTGCTGCTCAGTAAACTTGTGATGATCATTATACAAGTTACACTGTGGGGATCTCCTGCTTTTAGTAGACATATTTGAGGTTTCTTTCGTATGCTTTGCCTTGTTTGGGAAGATCAAGACAACTTAATTTTAATAGAAATAGAGCTCCTCCGAGTTCTGATGCATATGTACCAATAGTTACTTCAATTTATTTTTGTGTGTACACAGGTTTCAGCTTCTATACCTTCAAATGAATGCATTGCTGTTAAAGGAAGAGTTTATACAATATTAAAGCAAATAGGTAGTGGAGGCTCAAGCAAGGTAAGATGCTGTATTAGCCTTTTAGATGTAGTCACTCATTTACACAGTGGTATTTAATACAAATATATATACTGTAGTTATCTAATACTGCTTGAGCTGTGTTTGACTGACACAAAGAACCTGAAACAAAATTATAGGGCCAAGCTTACACTTTCTCATGGGTGCAAGGAAGAATAGCACACAGATGAGATGTGTTACAGTGTTATTCTTCAGAGTTCTGAGTTTCCTGAATTATATTTATGGCATTGCTATTTCGGACTGTTAAACAAGTATTGATTTCAGTGGAGAAAGTCAAAACAGTGGAAGAATAAAGCCATGTGTGTTGAAATAAAGAAAACAGTAAACAAGTGTACTGAATGCATTTGCTTAGAAAACAGAACAGAAGCTACAGAGATAAGAAAGCAATCACTCAACTATCTTCTCTTAGATTAGTAAATGATGGTGGCAGCCCACTTCCTTGTTTTGCTTTCTACATAGACCTTAAATTACTGTTAGACTGTTTTACATTCCTGAAGATCTTCTTTGAGATGAAGAGTCTTAAAATTCCTGGCATCACAGAATTGTCCAAAATAAGCTGAGATTGTTGGGGTCTCTGGATGTCATCTGGTCCAACCCCTACTCATGCAGAGTGCCCAGGACTGTGTCCAGGTGGCTTTTCAAAATCTCCAAGGAGCAGACTGCACAACCTTCCTGGGCAACCTGTGGCCAGAGCTCTGTCAGTTGTACAGTAAATAAATGCTTCCTGATGTAGAGAGGGAACCTCCTGTGTTCCAGTTTGTGCCTGTTTCCTCTTTTCCTGTGCCTGGGTGCCACCAAAAAGAGCCTGATTCCATTCTCTCAGCATTCTCCTTTCAGGTATTTATAGACATTGAGATTCCCTCTGAGCCTTCTCTTCTCCTACCTGTTTCTGTTGTAACCAATGAATTTTGATAAAACTTTAATTTCAGCAAACGAGATCTTCTGTAAATTTACTGTGCTTCTTCCTTTTTAAAAGGTATGTCTTTCCTTTTAAACTCTGGCTATGGTGAAATGGAGGACCATGAAATAAATTGGACTTAAGATTGCAATAACTGTTTTTTCAGGTGTTTCAAGTACTGAATGAAAAGAAGCAGCTGTATGCAGTCAAGTATGTGAATCTTGAAGAAGCTGATCAGCAAACTGTTGAAAGCTACAAGAATGAAATTGCTCATCTGAGTAAACTACAAGAGCATAGCGATAAGATAATCCGTCTTTATAGCTAGTGAGTAAACTTACTGTTCATATAATGCAGTATTGATTTAATAAAGCTGCCTTGAATTTTAACATTTATTTTGTTTTAGTGAAATTACTGATCAGCATATCTACATGGTAATGGAGTGTGGAAACATTGATCTCAATAGCTGGCTGAAAAAGAAAAAGAATATTGATCCATTGGAACGGAAGAGCTATTGGAAAAATATGTTGGAAGCTGTTCACACAATCCATGAACATGGTACTCTTGAATAATTCTTGGTATTTGAATAGGTTGTTAGACAGACATGGTGTTTTGAATTTTGGAGGTGATACTGCTTTCAGTTTTGGTGTAAGCCTAGTGATCTTTGAAGGTGGTACTTACTGTATTGTAACAATAAAACCAAAGTGAGCATATCTTTATTGAAGTAGACTCTCTTGACTCAAAGGGATCAACAAGTATCCCTATAATGTGGGTAAGGATGTTTGTTTTCTATTTCCTTGCAACAGCTAGAAAATGATTTATGTAATGGACTACAGTGTAGGCTTCTGGAACTACTTGTTCTCCATAAAATTCTCATTAAAACCACTTATCCTCTCCAAAGAAATTTTGATTGCTTCTGCACAGATCTGTTGTCTTTACTTAATTCACCTTTTTCACTCCTTGTATTTCATGAGGCTCCCTCTCATCCTTACCCATGTTACTAAAATGCATGTATCTGTGTTCTATTTCTGTGTAACATGGTGAAGATTGAAAAAAATTAAGAATAATTAGTTGATTATATGAAGTAAGAATGACCAAGACTCATAGTTTATAAAGCAAGCAGAGTGCATTTAAGACACCAATGCAGGTAATCTTCAGTGCATTCACTGGATTCATTCTTTTGCTAGATCAAGGAAGCAGAAAAATATTAAACTAAGCTATTTCTATCTTTCTCTTCCTGGCACTCTTTTTTCCAAGTACCAGATTAGCTAATTAGTTAAAAGTAAACTGAAGTAAGCAAGCAGAACAGCTGATATGATGGCATTCCTGACCAGCAACAGCAAACTAAGAAATTCTAAGAAATTAGGTCACGTAGAGGTTGTAGAACTGATGTGAACTTTTTCTTCCTGGTTTTTGGCTCTTAAAATTTCTAGTTTCCCTGCTTTTTAGCCACATCTTGTCTAATTTCTTGATTTTTCTGTTATTACAACTGTACTGTATCTATTAATATTGAAATAGTACTCTGTACTTGTTTTACTTCCTTCTAATATAAATGAAGGCTGCTAAAAATCTACTGCCTGTGCCATAGCAAAGGGAAACTTGGGAATCTGAAGCTAAATGTTGACTCTGTTTTAAGTGAGCGTGTATGTGCCTACAGCATAGATCTAAATCCCTTTGATGGCCCATCCTTTACTGAGAGAAACTATTGATTCTTTCAATATGAATCTCAACTTGAGATTCATGAAGTTATTTCAGGGTTACTGAAGATTTTAGTACTTTGAAGTATGAACTTGTTATGCGAGTCTAACTGCCAATTAGGGGGAATGAAAAGAAACACTTTAAATGAAATCTGCAAAGAATAATTTAGTTATCACCAAACAAGTGATCTGCATGTTCTCTCTGTGCAATGGTCAGGTAACTGAGCAATGAACATACTTCAGTAACAGCTTGGATTGACTTGAAACTGTTTTACAGGCATTGTTCACAGTGATCTTAAACCAGCAAACTTCCTGATAGTTGACGGAATGTTAAAACTGATTGACTTTGGCATTGCAAACCAAATGCAGCCAGATGTGACAAGCATCGTTAAAGATTCACAGGTGACAATTCTGGAAAATTGATGTATAGCTTTCAGAAAATGTTGTACTTGATTATGTTAATCTCACAGCTTGAATGAGTACTGTACTGATTTCCTATATGCTTTTCTGTACTTTAAGAGAAAAATCAAACTACTTATTAAGTACATGCCTCATTAAATATTTTTACTAGGTTGGCACAATGAATTATATGCCACCTGAAGCAATACAAGATATGTCATCTTCCTATGGAGAAAATGGGAAATCGCAATCTAAGGTAACGTGAGGTTTTTTTCCTCCTGTCCTGCATACTGTGTAGTTCAGGCATATAATTGAAAGTTTAGTTTTTTCAAAATCTTCTGCTGAAATAAAACAGAAATCCACTATGCCAAGGTGGTGGTGGGCAGTTTGAAGGCTAAGTACTCTGTTTTCTGCAGAGAGTGTTTAGAGAAGTGCTGAATTGAATTAAATTGAAAGTAAGGCAGGTGCATGGACTTGAGGGAGTTGAAGTAGATGACAGAAGACATTGAGAAGTATTAAATGTAAACCAATGATAAACAACTGTCTCAATCCGCAGGGAATGGTAGAAAGCAATCTTGTGCTATCAGTATGAATGGTATTCAGTGGTGATAATAGATCTGCATCAGACTTTGTGGAATGTGTCACTTTGTGTTCTGAGGTTTGGGTTTCTAAGTTATTGATTACTTTGTTTATTGAAGACTACTGATGGTATTTAAAATGAAAAATGAGACTTTCTTTTTTTTTTTTTTTTTTTATGATCAGTCTAGTTTGTTCTAGCAATTCTTCATATTTTTGGCTGTGGATGTTTTGCTCCTTAGGCCTTAGTCCTGTGTTCAGTGCTTTTGTTGACTCATTTTTATGATTTCTTTGAAAGAATCCTGGTAGAAGTTTGAGGCTTCTTTCCCTTTCCTGCTTTCCAGCCTCAGATTTTCTGACATGGAGAATCACTTCTCTCTCTGTTTTTGCTGCTGTTTGGGATAAACCACAGGATACTTTGTATCCTGTTATGTCAGAAGTTTAACGTGCACTGTGTTTCTGAAAGGACGTGTACTGTAGTTCAAGATTTCAGCATTTCATCTCAATTCTTATAATTAGGGTCTTCCATAGAATCATTTCATAGAATCATGAAGGAATCATTCTCTAGCCATTTTCTTGATTGCCTGTTGTGTTGCTCATAGCCATCTGTTTTGTCTGTTCCAAAAATTGATGGAGCTCTTTATTGCTAGTATCTTTACAGCTGTATTTTAGTATTCTGTATGAGTAGATCTGGCTTAGAAATCTTCCAATAGAAGTAAGAAAAAATTTATGCTGTAAAACGCTCTTCGTGTTTGCTTAAATGAAAGGTTAGGATAATGTCTGTGTCACTGTCGTATCTTGAATCCTGTGAGATACAGGACAATGCTTTATAAACTGAGGTTTGTAAATGATTCCTCTATTAAAAGATTGTATCTCTTGCCTTTAAAACTTCTACCTTTTAAATTCTTTAAAACTTGTAAATGAAGTGCAGACTTGTTCTGGCTCTTAGCTCATTTCAGTAAAAATCCAACCATCGTACTGCTAAGTCAATGCAATGTCTCTTCCACATCCCTCCACTTCTCCCTACCCTCCAACTTCATCTTTTATTTAAAAGCACTTCAGTAAGAGGACTGGAAAGTCCTCCTTTAAAGAGCAGCCCAAATGTGGTGGTTGGAATTTGGATCTTGAATCCTTAAAGCCTAGAAGAACTGGACTGTAGTTTCCCACTTTGGGCACAAGCATACCTATGATGCTTTACTGGCTTCCAAGGTGAATTTAGTATATTTATTTGGATTTATGAATATATCCAAAATCAGAATACTGCTATTCAGCTTAAGGGTTTTTAAGTTATTAAAGTTGACTTTTTCAAACAACTTGGAAAAAAAAAAAAAAAAAACTTATTGAAAATTACTGAAAGTCACATTATAGTACAGTATGAATAGGTAACAGTGCACTGTTAATCATGTTATCCAATGTAAAAGAGCTAAACTATCAAGTGAACTGTACAGTTACCATTTCCTAAGTGAGAAAACCTCTTTTTTTTTTTTTTTACTTGTTAGATAAGTCCAAAAAGTGATGTGTGGTCGTTGGGATGCATTTTATATTGTATGACATATGGAAGGACTCCATTTCAACATATAACAAATACACGTAAAAAACTGTATGCTATTGTTGATCCTCATTATGAAATAGAATTCCCAGATATTGCTGAGAAAGATCTTCAAGATGTGCTAAAGGTAATTTTCCCTGAAGATTATTTTTGATTCAAGCAATGGCAACTTCTTTATTTAAAGCATATTTTCTTAAATTGAATGAATGAATTGTACTTGAGGAGCTTGTTCAACAAATAATGTTAATTGCTGCTAATAGTAACAGGCCTTTTTCCAAAAAACTAAAGCTAGCTATTTCATGGTTTCTATAGTAGAAGTCCATTTTCAGCTCAGTAGCAAGTAAGTAAATGTTTAAAGCAATCTGGCCTAACTCCCTTGAGCCACCCAAAGTAAATTGAGTAGCTTTTGTACAGCCTTCGCCCCCTTCTTTTATCCTGCATGTTTGCCTGCATTTGAGACTTCACTTATTTGCTTTATGCAAAAGCCCTAATCGTGCTGCTCAGGAGGAAACAAAGTGAAATCCAGAAACATTTATCCCCAACTTTCAAATTCCAATATCATTTTGAGTTTTTCAAAGTAAAGAGATGTAAACACGAGAGCCAACAACTTCTTCCAATGTTGTTGCTAGAGTAAAACAGAATATCCAACCTTCTTTAGCAATCATCTTCACAGAGTAATTAGGGTAATTTTTTTGGTGTATTTAGGGTTGTTAGTGACTTGATGGTAAGAAGTTTAGGCATGAATTTGATAGGTCTTGAAATATCCACAGTTTCAATTATAATTCTTAGGAATTAAGATTAATCTCTTGATTTTTGAAGCAAAATATTCTTTTTGTTTGCAGCGCTGTTTAGTAAGAAATCCTAAACAAAGAATATCCGTTTCAGAGTTGCTGATACATCCCTATGTTCAAATTCAAACCCAATGTCAAACAGGTATGTCTGTTTTTAAAATATATTTGTTAAATAGCACTTAAAATTATGTTTAAGAAATCAAAAGGCTTTTTTTGTACATAGACATTTGCTGGTATTGCAGTAGGTGGTTTTGTTTGGTACCCATGTATGTTATATGTAAGACTTCACTTAAACTTCTAATTTTTAATTTTTAGACCATTAATTTCAAAACTGACCTTTTGTCTGTGTCTTACAGACTTGTTGGTAATTATACACAATTGTATACAGCTCTAATGATTTTAAATTAACTGTTAGGTGTTGCAAATGCAAAAGGAGCAACAGAGGAAGTAAAGCGTATCCTTGGCCAACTTGTTGGCTTAAATTCTCCCAACTCTATTTCCAGAGCTGCTAGGGTAAGTAAATTGGCTTTCCCTATGTCTGTCTGAGCACTGCATGTTCATGCAGTAATGTAAAATGTGTGGTAATGAAAGAGGAAGGGATGCATGTAGTGTAGTTTTAACCACTGCTGCAAAAATCATAGCATATTGTCATGCTTTTGTTTGTGGGTGGTGTGTGATCGCTACCTACTCCTGAATTGGAAGATTTAAAAGGTGGTTATCTTGGTTTATTCTTGCCCTGTTTCTTTTCATTCAGCTCCCAGTATATCTGTATTATATCTCTTCATTTCTAATACTCACCATCTGGACTGGCCTTTGTGTCTCCTCTAGAACAGCTAGAAACAGTTAGAAAATGCCTGTGATCTTCCACTTGTCCTAGCTAATTCCTTGTCACTATGTTAAAGATATTGACAAACAAAGCCCTGACTCTCATTATCTCTCTTTCTGAAAGAAGACAGGCATCATGAGGAGTCCTGTTCAAGTCTGTGGGTATTCCTACTTCTGGCTCCATAGGGATTTTTTGGTGGACGGTGCTTCTGTTTTGTCAGACTTTTCTGTAGCAAATATATCTGACCCTAAAATAATTAAATACAAAAATGACTCATATTCGTTATTGAAGTTGGGTCATTTATCACTGTAGATGATTCTTTCATTTGTTGTTCTGAGTGGTAACCTGAAACTTGTGTGTGAAGAAGACATCTGTTCAACAACATTGTGATGTGGCTATGCTTGTGGCCACTGTTTTTTGTGATTTCCTCACGTGAAGTTTCCTTCCTTAAATACTCAGTATGAGCAAGCTTTCTAAAAGTATCCCTCTTTCTATGCTGGTGTTTCTGCATCAGAGGCAGTTAATGGAGTGAACGTGGATTTAAATCTTGGCAATGAGTTCTCTTCAAACTTGTGAAATACTACTTTTTCTCACTAAGTCAGTATGTGTTTTCTTTCAGGCACTGCTGCATTACAGCTGCTAGGACTAAGCTGTTGATCTTAATTGCATCTTTATTTGCTGATTTCTGAGACAAATCTTAGTGCAGTTAGTAATATTAATATTTCAAATGAGAAGTTATTTCAAGTTGTAACATTTGCTATAAAGATTGTTTGAATATGTGAAACAGCAGTGTTTACCTGAATACTTGTGTTTTTATTCATTTTCAGACTTTATATGAACAATGCAACAGTGGTAAAAGTCTCGACGTATCAGCATTTGCCAAATCTGGGAGTCAAAAATCATGGACAGCAAAGTGATATACAGCTGTTTGGGGTGCAACATAACTGGTCTGTTCAAAAGAGTATTTAGTGCTGCTAGCTTGTAAAAGGACACTCAGCATAAAGTTCACACTTGAAAAATTAAATGTAAAAAATATATATCTATGTACAGTAAATCCTGACTTGCCACTTGTATTGAACAATGAAAATGGATAGGATAGTTTGTTACTATAGTCTTTTCTAACAATGCTGTATGGTTTTTGAATTACAAAAACTTGTACAAGACTTTCAAGCTCCTTTATACTCAAACTAAATTTAAAAAAAAAGCTTTCTAAAACACCAATTGTAAAATTGGCTATGTGAAACTTGCAAGTCTCTTGAAATGTTCTACGATGTGAGTACAGTATTGTGCTGTTCTGTTCTTTGCTGCCAAGTAAAAGAAATGCCTCTAGTGTCCAGCCCAAAACTAAGGGAAAAAAGGCACACTGCTTATATAAGCAATCAGTTACAGTTCTGGTAGATATGTGTAAATGCCATCCAGTTCTTGAGCTGTTCTTTTGCTGAGTGATAAATGGCATAGTGGAAGCATCACTCTCAAAGTGTAATAGGAATAAAATGGCTTATGTTCTATTTTAAAAAAAAAAAAAAGCAACAACTGCTTTGCAAATCCAGTATGCTTTGCAAACTTCAAAATAGAAAAATTGTCGAGATTAATGATGCTCAGAAGACAATTTGGATTTTTAAGAGCACTAATACTAAGCAGTGTAAATAAAGTGTACTGAACACACTGGTTTTATACATGATTATTAGTGGATTGATCAGATTTTGTTGTCACTGAGGTATATTTCTGGTGCAAGAGTGAATTTTAAATTACTTGGAAGACATTAAATATTTAAAAGTTTCAGATTGGGAGGGGAAAAAATAATCTTCAAGACAGCTGCCACATTTTCCTTTGAAAACATGATATTTGTTTGTTTATAGAATCTCTGAGCAAGTATTTTCAAGTTTGTGGTTTTTGCCTTTTCTTAAGTTATGCATATCAAGATCCTGGTTCATTACTGAAGTGTCTCTTGTTAATTTTCATGTGTTGAGTGTCGTGCCCTTTGAACAGTGACAGAAGAAGAGGAAAGGTAGTATTAGAGAAGTTTCCTTGATTATTTCTACATGTTAATTACAGAATTCATGCTTACTTCCCTTCAGATGAGTATTAAAATATTTGAACATCTTTATGGTAGCTTTTGTATTCTGTGCTTAATTTTGGATAACTCACCAGGAACAAAAAAGCTTGATAAAATGCTGTAAGAAAGGCCCCCATTGAGGAGGAATTGTCTTTCACTGTAAACATACATGTAAACATTTACCAACCCCTATTCTGAGCATTCTTCTCCAGATCACCTGGTCTCACAGAATTTGTGTGCATTTTGATTCTTGGAACACTGGGATTCACTGATACCATCCAGTTGCTTTCTGTGGTTTTTGCTTCCATGAATCAAGATTTAAAGGAATAAAAACGTGAGTGGTGGCAAAACAATCTTTCAAATAACTTAGTAATAAGAAAGCAATCTTTTGAAGAATGGGATTTATGTAACTTTCACACCTCTGCTTCAAGTCTATTTTAAAGCCAAGCCTTCACCATCTTCCTATGCCAGTTAAGACCATCCTGCTGTGACAGTACCAAATGCTTGTAAAAAGAGCACTTATTACTCAGGTGTGTAGTATTCCTGTGGCTCAACAGGAGTACTGTGGTTCAACATCTGCTCTCTTTTAACTTAGTAGGTATTCTCTGGATTACTGGCTTGTTTCCTCCAATGATCCTGTTATTTCTGATTTAATTTATTACAAACATTCGTGCTCCTGTACTATAGCACGAGTGTATATGCTAACTTTATCCTGCTTGCCTCTTATATGAAAACTTCTTGTCAAGGTTGAAGCTACCAAAGAAAAGTAAGTTAACATTCTGTACCTTTCACACCGTAGGCAGTTTGGGAAACTTCTTAGAGCATATGAACTGAAACATTCTCACTGGCTTTATCTGGAGAGGGGAAATATTGTTTAAGAAGAAAACTTGTGGAGAAAACTTTTACTCTATAGAATACTCCTGTGTGAAGAGAAATTGAAATGTCTCCTAGCTGTTTCTCTGAATTACCCTTGAAAATATTTCTGCATAACTATTCAACTGTTACAGATGTTAAAACTTCCAGTGTTTTGCTTATCTGTTGCTTAATATTGAATATGCAGAGGAGGTGTGCCATGTTTTTTTTTTCGTAGAGTACATGCTTTTGCAATCCTTTCTCTCATGCAGTCACTGCTGAAAAAACCGCAGCATGAGAGATTATGGAAAGACAACTGGGGCTAATGAGATGAGTAGGTTGTTAGTCATGCTTTTTATTTAAAGTTTGAACAACTTATGTTCCTTATTTATATTCCTTTCCTGCCTGACAATTGTCTCTTACTGCCCCTCCGTGCGTTCCTATTGTGGTGGATGTGTTTTCTTTTTAACAACTATCTGCTCCCCTTTTCAGGTTCTTTTGGGATCTCAGCATGTGAATTACAGAATGGCTATGCAAGAGTAATTTTTAAAAGGCAAAAAGCATGTTCTGTATGTCTGTTAACAGAGGTTGCTGCCTAGAGCTTGCTCAAGATTATAAAATGCCCATCCTGCATTGCTATCAACTACATTCAAGTCCACAGTTGCAGGACATTGTGCATATAGAAAGTAGGTGGAGAAGATGGTTTTCAAACCAGATTACTATATGCCTGTTTGCAGTCACCATCTTTGGATACGTATGTATAGTGTAGTGCTATATCAGCTGTTACTGATGTACTGTAACTACATGAAGAGTAAACAAGTAAATGAGAATATTTCATTAAGCTCCTTTTTGTAATTCTTGCAAAAAATGAATTTGAACAGTTATAATTTCTAAATCTGATGCTGTGATGCAATAAAAGCCTTTAGTCAGCAGGCAACACTAAGAAATACAGAACTACAGAAAGATAGGTTCCATGTTTATGGATTAGCATAGCATTGTTCTGCCTGAGCAGCTGAGCTAGCTTCTCTGTAGGCATAGTTGTAATCCAAAGGCTAAATGGATTAATGTGTAAGTTCCAAAGGCTCTGATTTTCTTGGTGTGTCAGTGCACAAAATGGAATCCTTCTAAGGCATGAGAAGAAAAAGGAGCTGTTCTCTTGCATAACTGCTCTCAGAACGTTTCTCCAAGGAATGAGAAACTGAATGAAAATCTATCCCAGTGGCTCAGTGGGCTCCTCTTTTCTTCTCCGGCTTTTGAAAGGCATTATCTATTTGTGCTGCTAAACAAGGAGGTGTGAAGGAAGAGAATATTAAATTCCAAGCAGAAGAGAGAGTGCATAGTGGGTTGTGTTTTAACCCTGAAAGTAAGTGGTCAAATGATCACTAGATTGTGGTCCCTGTTATGGGTTTCTGTTCTTTCTTTAAATACCTGATAGTTTCATGACCAATTTTGTGAACAGCATTTATTATCAAATTAGAAGTTGAACAACTGATGTAAACTTGAATTATGGCCTGCCTCTAAAGCCTGTCTTATTACTGGGGATGTCAGGAAGAATGAAAGGCTAATCCTTACAGGTGCCAATGATGTTGCTGTTGATACAGTAAGTACTGAAAACTAACTGCTCTTATGTTCCTGTTGTCTCTACTGTTCCATCAGTTTTCATGGGTTCTCAGCAGCAAGGATAAAAGAAAATGCTGTTTTAGCATATTTTTATCATTGATACTTTTGTGGCTAGGAGATCCTATTTCAGGTAAACACACATAGTTAACACGAGTATTCTCTTCCTTCTAAATGCATGTATATCTTCTAAACTCAATTATTTGTTCACAAAGCCTTGTCTGTGTCAGTAAGCTTTCCAAGTATGCCCTTCTTTGCTCATTTGTTCCACATAAAGTAATTAAGAGAAATCTTGCAAGCTAAGAGATATAGTGAAGGAGGCACTATAGTGTGACTGTAGGATGTGGACCTGTATTGGAGCAGAAGTCTTGATATAGCCTATCCATATATTTTTCATGGGAGTTGCTGCAATGAAACCCAAGATAAAAATCTGACTCCTCACCTCAATTCCTTGCCTTAGCAGGTGAAATTGCAGCTAAACGATGATGTAATTCCAAGACGCCAGCTCTAATCAGATGAATTGCTAAAATCCAGGCAGCTTTTGCAATGAAAGAGATGATGAATTTAAGGAGGAATAGTGGTACCACTGTTTTGAACCCGTAATAAACACAAGGAGAAAGTCAATATTTAAACAGCCTGTTTCTCTCAACTGTAACTATATTCTAAATATCTCTGGCTTGTCTTGGTACCCACATAACGATGTGCTTGTTTTATGGTAAGTGCAAGTAAACTGAAGACCTGCTTTGTCTATCTCAAGCTGTTTCTTGTTTATTTTATGTAGTTGTTAATTAAAAATACAATTAAGTAGCAAGTATGTTTACGGAAATACAATTTGGATTCTTGGCATTAATACTTCGTATGTGGTTTTGTATAAATTACTTGTTTGAAAATTTGTTCTCTACATGCTTTGTTTTGTCTGCTTACAGTTTGACAGAATTGTTTCTTACCACAACTTCTGTACAAAGCTTGTTGTATTTAGTTTCTTGTGTGGGAAGGAGAGGGCTGTTAATGCTACTGTAGTAGAGTGGCAGAGTGTTCCAAATTATTCTTAAGAGGGAATAAATCTTGCTGTCTGTGTGGTGTTTGGATGTTCATATAACAGGTCTCTGATCTCTGCAAGCACAATTCAATGTGGCAGATTGCAAACATGTCCCATGTTCTTGGTGAGTGAAGAGTGCTGGGCAACATCATGCCATGGAAGGACTCCAGAGCCATCCAGTGGGGAGCAGTGACCAACATCTCCCCCTCAGGCAAAGGAAGGGAAGGCCTGCAACCCACGTTTCACTTCACTGATGAACATGCTAGCAATTGTGCTGTAAGGCAAAACTTCTGAGGCCGCCTCTGCTTTATGTGATTTGGACATATCTAGTAGCCTGGGCATTTAAGGAACCTGGTTGCTGAGATGGCATTTCCACCTTCCCAGCAGTTTGTGTAAGAGGCAGTCAGCTGCTCCCTTCTGTTGAGATGGTGGTGCTCACTGGCATGTGTCAGTGAGTTTTTAAGGATAAAGGTACCTCACTAATAAGGAGCTAGAGTTTTTAAACTGGAGCTGAACTTTGGTACCTAACCAAAAAGTGAATGTCTGCTTAAGTCTCTTCTGATCTGACTTTGGTATTCTTAGCAGAGGCTTATCACTGCAAAGGTGATGGTGTTTCCTAACTGCAGTGATGCATGTTGAGCAATGCAAAGTGCAAATATTGACAAAGAATAGTTTTAGGGAAAGCAGATGAAGATTCAAAGAAACCTTACATTTTGGCACGTTGGAGTACTTCAGTGGAAGGGATCTACGAAGTCCTGGCCAACTTCCTGACCACTTCAGGACTAACCAAAAGTTAAAACGTATTACTGAGGACATTATGTGAGTGCCCCTTAAACACTGACAAACTTGGGAAATCGACCGCTTCACTGGGAACACCTCATGTTGTTGCTTTGATTTTTTTTTTTTTTTGATTTTTTTTTTTTTTTTTTTTTTTTTTTTTTTAGAAGCCCCTTTTGCTGCTCATGCTGTTTATCTTTTTTTCAGGAAGAGAAGATCTACAGAAAAGTAGGTTATCTGCTTCAGTATTCAGCACAGAAGGACTCGCAAGATTTCATGTCAGAACCTTTCACTGTAAGAGAAAGCTTTGAGGGATTACTTGAATTCAATGTCAGAAGTAGCTTTTTCAGGCACTAACATCTCCAGTTCCAGGGTGGTGTTAACCAAAGGAGTTCTAAAGGAGTTAGTAGTAGTTGTAATAGAAGGTGTAGTATAACTAGAGATGGGAGGCAGTAAATATGATACTGGTCTTCAGAAATGTGGAGCTAGAGAATTAGAATGCTGAGTAAAATTTCGTAATAAAAATATTGAGGGGAGAAAATTACACTAAGGAGCAGATTCAGGGTACAAATGTACCAATACTGAGTAAACCCTTTGCATAGAGGAAAAAAAAAATCTTTCTTCTGAGCCTGAGTATGTGGTATTTATATACAGTATATTTGGATTTTCCAAAAGCTGCTAACACCAGGGGTCCTTCAATGTCTTGAAAATAAGCACATATATCAAGAGGAGGCTGAGGGGAGACCTTACTGCTCTCTTCCAGCATCTGAAAGGTGCGAGAGCGGGGTTGGTCTCTTCCCACTGATGACAGGTGGCAGGACGGGGGGAAATGGCCTCAAGTTGTGCCAGGGCAAGTTTAGGTTGGATATCGGGAAAAACTTCTTTACAAAAGGGGTTGTTAAGCACTGGAATAGGGTCCCCAGGGAGGTGGTTGAGTCACCATTTCTGGATGTGTTTAAAAACCATTTGGATGTGGTGCTCAGGGACATAATTTTGTGGAGGTAGTTAGTTAGGGTAGTATTACCTGAGCAATTCTATGATTCTCTCTATGAAGATCTGCTCAAGGATGAATTGAGGAGACTTCCAGAGAACATTTGGCTCCACCAGGGACACCTCCAGTAGATTAGGTTGCTCAAAGCCCCATCCAACAGAGAAACGGAGGAGAAAAGTATCAGATAAGTAGTTGGTCATTCTCACCTAAAGAAGATGGCAATAAGGTGGGTCAAAGGAGCTGTGGTAATCCACGTACACAAGTGATCTCAAGGGTTTAATAGCAGACTGATTATTGACAAGATGGTGGAAAAGAAAGGTCAGCATTGTGTAGGATTAAGATATACTGGGAGTCATTTGATGAAATGATCAGCCAGAATTTGTAAGCAGTTGAAAGGAAGATAAAGTGTTTTGCATGTAAAATATAATTACATTTAAAATAAGGCTATTGTGGAAGCTGAAAATTTTAAGTAGATTCAAAAAGATTAGGCATGTTGAAGGAAGTTAAGGATGATCCTTGGCACTGAGTGCAAATGGTATGCTTGCAACCTCTGGCTTAGGATTTCCCTTTAAGCCTCTGATCCCCAGCTCTTGGAATGTTTTGCCAGAGATGGAATCTCTTACCTTGTAAGGTTTTGCTTTTGGAAGGAGGATATTGGACAGTATGGACTCTTGCTCTGATCCGTTTCAGCGACATTTTGGCTCCTTAACAGCAGCCCTGTGGTTGGGTTGTTTTGGGTACTAGATACTTGATTTCAATCTCCATGCCTGTCAACATGATAATTTTCGTAAGCAGCATTCAAATGTTTGATGAAGATGCATTAGTATCGTCTGAAAAGCAATCATGTTATAGCAGGCAGCCTGTATACCAGCAACATCGTCTTGACTGTATCTCACTGTTATCTCACATCCCACCTTCGACTTCTGAGTCAGTACTTCAAGTAATTATGCCAGTTTTGTAACTTCTCTGCTGAGATCATCCACCATGCCTCCAGTAGGGCATCTGGAAGCTAGGAACAGGGTGAAGATCTTAGCCCTGATGCAAGATGAGAGCAAGGCTGCAGAAATCAAGTATAGCGCTTAGAACTATATAGTAGGTTACAGGTTTGATCTGGTGAATAGAAGTTCAACTTCAGGTCCTGTGAATACACTATAACTTCCCCAGCTTGTTTTGTAATTACATACTGCCATAGTAGGCACCAGGTAGTGTTTTGCACATACCCTTTTTGTAGGCTGGCAGCAGCTCCTGCCAGCAGCTTTGGTCACTACACCTGGCTGTGTTTCACTAACTACTTTGGCACACAGTTTGTCATCGTGCATGGGCAGGTCTCCCACCAGTCCTGCAAAACCTGTTTAACTGGCCCTTCCTTTCACAGTTCCCCCATGCTCAGCCTTCCCACAGCCCATTGCCTCATGGCTTACTATATGAATGTTCTTAGTCCCTGTTATATGGCAATAACTGGAAGCTTTCCAGTGATGGTTTCATGGGGGAAATGCCAGTTCACAGAACTGTGGAATTGCTTAGCTTAGAGGGAACCTTAAACATGGTCTAGTTCTACACCCCCCCTACCCCAGCATGGTCAAGGTTGTTACCTATCAGGTCAGGCTGCCCAGTGTCCTGTATAATCCAGCCCTGAATACTTCCAGGGATGGGATGGTCTACAGCTTCTCTAGACAAACTGTTCCAGCTTCTCCTACATGTGGGATGTATGGTGTCCAGCCCATAAACATGTATACATTCAGCCTCATGAGGTGGTTTCAGACTTGTTTCACATTTACGCTGGGAGGGATTTTGCTGCCCAGACTCTTGCTTGGAAGTTTAGGGACGCCAGGAGGTGTAAGAAGCCTGACTCGCAAAGAAGACCAAGGCAAAAACCTTGTTAAGAACCTCAGCCTTCTCCATATCAGAAGGAGCAAACTCTCCCTTTTCATTCATCAGAGGGAGTACATTCTCCTTTGCCTGTCTCTTCTGCCCAGTGTTATCTCAAGAAACCCTTGTTTTTTACATCCCTTGCCAAATTCAATTCCATCTGTGTCTTGTCTTTCATGATCCCATCCCTGTGCACCTGACATCTCTATATTCTTCCCAGGCCACACATCTCTGCTTCTACTGCTTATACTTTCTCTTTTCCCTTAGTCTGACCAGCAGGTTCTTGCTTAGCCATGCTAGTTTCCTGCTTCCTCTGCCTGATTTCTTGCTCTGGGTGATGGAGAGCTCTTGTGCTTTAGAAATATGTTCTTAAAGCGCTGCCAGCTCTGTTCCATTCCTTTGACTCTAAGGAAAGTTTCTCAGGGGATCTCTTCCAACAATTATTTAAACAGCCAGAAGTTTGCTCCTGAAGTTCAGGGTCCTGACTCCACTCTTTGCAAGGCCCGTGCTCCTTGAGATCACAAACTCAACCAGGGCTTGGGCATTGTCCCAGGGTACAGCTGCTGCAGCCCGCTGTTAACAATTTTTAACAGTCTGCTTCACATTGGAGAGCACCAGATCCAGCAATACTTTACCTCCAGTGGGTCTGTCTAATATCTGAACTGCAAATTTGTAATCTGTGGACTCCGGGAGTCTCCTGAACTGTCTGCAGTTTGCCGTGTTGTTTCCCCAGCAGATATCTGTGTGGTTGAAATCCCCCACTGGGGTAAGAATCTGCAAGCTTAATCCATAAATACTACTAACACTGTAGTTGAGTATCCAAAGGAAGTACATCCAAACGCTTTCTATAACAGCTTATTCATCTTTTATCTTCTTGCAGTAAACTAGAGTTCAGTCTTGTTCATTCTGCTTAACCAAAATATCATCTCTTTCTCCCAATTTTGTACTTAGAATCATAGCTTGAAGTCTGTGTTGAGATGAGGTATGGCACAGGTTAACTTTTCATCTTCAGTATCTTCTAGAGCATTGTAGCCCAGTCAAGAAATCTCCTTCCCTCAAGCTGGGCCGAGCATATACAAAAGGAACATATTAACAAGGGCTAGCTCTGCAGAAAAAATATATAATCATGAAATGGATTGGGTTGGGACCTCAAGGATCATCTAGTTCCAATCCTCTACCATGGGCAGGATTGCCAACCACTAAATATTCTGCTGTGGATGACTCCCATGTTTAAAAGAAGAGAAATGAAATGAGCAGGAAAGTTCTGCCTTTCTGCTACTATGAGGCTTGTTCCAATGTGAGATATAGCCTGCTCCTTGCCTGCTTTTTCCCAGCTTTTCAAATGCCTGGCCGCATGAGTCATGCTCTTTGTAGAGGG